TCTGTATTTCTATGTACTCGTGCCAACTTTGTTATTGTCCTCTGTGCTGTTAAGTTTGCACGTAAATAAACACAAATTGAATTATTATTATTATTATTATTATTATTATTACACTGAAATTTAACTATTTATATACCCTTGAATTACGCTAAAATTAATTTCTTCTAATTTTACATATTAAAACCTAGAATCATGATCAGACACATCATGGGAAAATTGTCATGATATTAACATTTATAAATTTACATTATAAATATAATCCTTATCATGACAAGGACATACACACTAGATATATGAAAACCAATAATCGGCCTTAAGTGGTCGATATTTGCCGAATTCATAATGGTTTGTACCTACTTGTCTGTCATTAAGAAATGCTTTTGTAACTCTAGGAAGGATTCGGGGATGCAATATTATACACGATATTGGAGCCTAGCATCTCGAGGCGTCTGAGGAATTCTGAGAAGGATACATTGTGAACAATTCAACATAATCAGGTAAGCAATGCAAATTTAATATTCAGTGCGCACAAGAGATATTATTTTATTTCTCTTTATTACGGCCTCTGAGCTCATAAGTTTGCACGTAAATAAATATATTGTAGCGTATCGGGCGTATATCGCGACAAATAACTTCTCGATGTATTTGATGTAGCGAATTTTATTTCACACTCGCACTCACAATCACCCAAATTACAGATTTACGATTACTGCTATCTGCAGTATCACAATAAGTACACTCCAAATGCCACAATACAACTGACTAGTTGCTGGCTAACTCGGCGGTAGCTCCAGGACTCGCTGACTGTCTCAGTACAACTGACTGTGAATAGCCTTCGCTGCTCCTTATGTAACCTCGATCGGACCATACGGAAAACGGCCGCGTAATAGGCACCCTTTTTGCCTGGCGCTGTGTTGCTATGTAACGCTAGCGGAGGTAACCGCTGTTACTATCGTAACGTCGCCGCTGTTGACTCGCGTTGCCTAGCGACCGCGATATCCCTCGGTGACGTCACCGCGGAGGGGAGTGGCGGGGCGGGAACTCGCCTATTACCGTAAGAACGCGAGCGTTACGTTACCGCCACGTACCGCTGGGGAGGTAGGGGTCAACATGTCACACTATATTGAATTATTATTATTAATAATGTCCTTGTCACTCTCCATTACAAGTATATTTTTCTTATTATTTCAATCCATGACTCTTTATCTGATCTAATATGAACTTCTTGATTGAATGCACTTCCTTCTATCTCTTGTGCAGGACGTAAGTACTGCATTTCCCCTGTCAAGCTTAACACAGTCGGAACCTTGATTATCTCGACCATTTACAGCTCTGGTGTCTTCGGACTGTGGAACCGTTCGGATTGCTGGATTTCAAACAAAAAACTGAGTTTCGAATACAATTATACAATTATTTATTCAAAATATTTATAGGTGTATTTTATTTATAAACAAACCAAAATTTGCAAAATATTATCATTTTTAATGCAGCCATCAATCTTGCTTGAGGCAAGTGGTAACCGCCTTACATATCACAATACTGAGAGAGGCAGTTCTATTAACGCATGATAGCATGTTTCCCAAAAATTCATCGTTACAGTGAGAAAGTAAAACACTTACATTAACAATATTATATTTAAGCATTCTGTAGCGCTTTATACGATATATGATATAACTCCGTCCTAAGTGCAAACTATATTTATAGGCTTTTCGTTTTGTTCTTCTTTATACACTACATGTTTCGGCCCCAAATAGCCATCATCAGGTATATACACTCACGTATCTGTTATACTGCACTTATTTATAACATATAAAATTTAAAAACATAGGTCTTCCTTATTAGCACTTATAAAATCTTCGGTTCTAATTTTAAATCCTTTAGAAAAATTTTCTCTATGTTTTAAAATTTAAAAATGTCAGGGTTAACTCGCCCTATGTCTGTAGTGCTGCAGCACCGTCTTCTTGTTTCTAGTACTGTATATGTGTTATTCTGTGTAGTCTCCTTGTGTGCGTCACGCTGCTATCTTTACTACGTGCAGTATAACAGATAGTGTATACACCTGATGATGGCCGTTCGGGGCCGAAACATGTAGTGTATAAAGAAGAACAAAACGAAAGACCTATAAATATAGTTTGCACTTAGGACAGAGTTATATCATATACTTACATTAAATTTGTAATTTTTTAAAGTACCTTGTTTGTGGTGCTATGATTCAATTCGGATGAACCTGGGTTTAGATTGCGGAAGTTTCACTGCACTCAGTAACGTGCTGTAGCATAATAATCGTGTGATAAAAGCCCTTAAGTACATGAAATACTTTATCTCGTAATAAACCTGACCAAAACTGGAACATTTACCCTTATCCTGCCCTACTAATCATGGCGGCATCTTCAAAGGCAAACTTTGCAGTTCACTTACTTTGTCAGCATATAATATTATGTAAACTGGACGGGGACTGGACAACCCTGTTTTTCATAAGGTAATATTACGTAGAGGCATTGAAAATGTTATGCGGTGTTATATTCAAGATGACAGTGGTAGTGAAAAAAGTAGGTTTCGTATAAAAACAAGTAGAGGTTACATGGTGTAAGACACTATTGATGGTGGAATGGAATATAGGTATTGGGTGAAGGGGGATTCACATCCTCCCCTTTCCAAAACGAGTTTTGTATGTAGCCACGGGCTCGTGCCCCGAGTCGAATCAAAAGTTTGGATTTGAAGGGCAATAGGGTCGAGGAAAAGTGAAAGAGGGAGGGACAGGTTATAAAGAATGAGAAACGAGTCCACGATATATACATGACATGGTGGACGCGACGCTCACTAGGTACCCTTTTATATTTCAAGGAATTATTCAATACTCTCTCTCTCTCTGTATATATATATATATATATCCGTTTTATTCTCATTCATTTTTTATTCTTCTAACGTTGTGCTCTATATTGAATTGCTCTAGTGCAAGAATATACGGCGAGAGGGTGAGGAGTCTGTACCTTAGCTACCTTGTGACGAGCTATTGTGCATCATACAGGGTGTAACAAAAGATCTCTCTTAACCAGAGACTGGTTACTGCTTTGAGGCACTAGAACGACTGGCGTGTGTTTGTAACTGGAATAAGAAATGAAGCCTATGAAAAACGTGTGGGGACTTATAAGCGTGTAGGGGATGAAAAAAAAGAAAAAAATCTTTATGGATGCATTTTGTAAAGAACTGGTTGTCGTGTGGATGGGGTTCTAAAATACTATACTTCTGATATTAAAAAAGGGACAAAACATATACAGTTCTAAAATCTTGTTAGAAGCTTTGTATAATTATGGAATATTAAGAAGGATTCACTTGACAGATTTATTTTGGTCCAAATTTTATTTAATAAATCGTTTTACTCGTACAACTTCAAGAAAATATGTTTATAATGTTTTGAAACTGTAAAAAAGTGACCTGAAACATCAAGCTAAGGCTTCTGAATGATTTGACTTACTGAAGAGAGACAAATAAAAAGAATAATAGATTTGATAGCGATATATCTCGTTCTTAACAGGGAAGGGACAACATTTTATGATTTGTGTTCTGTGCACCGTGTATTTTCATTCTGTAGCACTTCTGGGTTTGGGGATATTCGGTGTTGATGAATAAATCGATTTAGATAGAGTTCAGTCTTTTATTATTAAGGGAATACATTATAGCTGTACACATGTAGGCATAATTTTCTCTGCATTCTAATGCATGATACTGAAAAATGTTCATGGAGTATCCTCATGGAGACGTATCGCAAATGACGTAAACCAGGATAGATATTTTTCTGATTCGAAAAAAGATGTTTAATTATATTATATTATGTTGTCACGTGTCGGAGGTTGGCGTGACTAATAATAATGTGTTCCGGATTAGATGATTGGGTTTATTGTCTCTTTCTTACAATTATAGTCAATTATAACAGTTCAGCTCACACAATTAACTCCTTCTGATAAATCTCTACGGAGCCGACTAATCTCTTACTGCTGTATGCCGTACGAAGAATTTTTCGCGACTGAAATCTCCTGGACTGAACTAACTTCCATGCGGACCGAATAGCGTTCACCATGTCTTAGAGTTCCTTTGTTATTTTTTGTTTCATCCGTTACCACGAAACGTGTGTCGATCTCGGTGCAACGCTTTGCTCATTCCAAGCTATGAAACGCACTCTTAGCGAGCCTCTGTATAGCAGTGGATTTTTCCACCACAGTATTAATGTCATTAAATTAAAAGCAATAACTTTAGTTCTTTACTTGAAGTATCGGTTTTTTATTTCATCTAACTTTGCAGTTGAAGCCATACGGAGTCCAGCGGGACGGCATTTGAGTCTGATAATGTATGAATCACGTGTAATGAAGAGCCCATGGAATATTTCATCGTAACTGCAATCACAGCGCTTTCTTGTAGAGATAAAGAAAATAACGAATTATTAGTAAAAAGTAACAGGCTTACGGGCAGAGAATAGAGTCCATGACTTCCCGAATACGAGAGGAGATGCTAGCCACCTAATCCCAACGTTCATCACACGTATCAAAAAAGTAAGAGACCTGATGTCCGTATGTGATGCAAACAATTTCGCGTTACCTTCATATCAAAAGGAAACTTTTTCTAAAATTATGCCTATTAACACTGCTATTTACAGGGATATAAGGCCGTGTAGATTGAGAAATAATTTCTTCCGAAGTGTTTGTACCCATCTACCAAAATGAACGGCGTCACATTGTAAAATAAATTAATCTTACTCGTACATTCTACTTTCCATGCCATGTTTTTTTTAATTCAGTAGTAGCTGAGTTTGTAAGATATACCACAAATTTAGTTCCAAAGGATTCTTACGATGCTGTATAACACTCGGGACAAATGTGTTTTTGAATTTTATCTAACATCCCGTAACTTATAGACAAAAAGTTTCGGAAACTGGATCCGTTTCAATCCTCAGCTGAAAGGGTGGTTCCGTTAGACAGAGCTGCTCTCGATCACCGGACGGAAACAAATCCAGTTTCCGAACTATACGTGGTATTGTTCAGCGTTACGAGACAATGGAGATAGCCCAGAAAATCAATAAGCTCACGAACTGCTTGCAATCTTACATACATGCAAACTTACCTACATTTGTGCCCAGTTCCTTGTATAAACCATTGCACTCACATGTGATATTATTAAACAAGATCCTCGGTGTAATTCTAAAGTTTTGTGGCGAAAGTGTTGTATTAAATTAACTCATAAGTTGAGCATTGTCGATCTCTCCGCTTTTTATCAAAACATAGCATTTAGATCGCTTGGAGGTAGAGCTTCATCTAACTTAGCCGACATGACAGATTTCTTACTTTCACTGAATGACGGAGGCAGATTCGGCTTCGGAAATTTCCGGGGTTTGAACCAGAAACGAGGAGACGGAAAATGTCTGTGATATATGCCAGTTTAATTCCTTGAGAGTTAAGTATATGCTGGGTATGTGGGCTTAAAGTCGGTTCCTGCTTCGTATTCG